TTAGTGCTTATTTACTTTTGAGAGAGAGAGAGAGAGAGGAGAGAGTGTAAGGGAGGGGAGGGTGCAGAGAAAGAGGGAGACACAGAATCCAAGGCAGGATCCAGGCTCTGAGCTGTCAGCACAGAGCTCAATGTGGGGCTTGAACTCATAACCCTGAGATCAAGACCTGAGCTGAGATGAAGAGTCAGACACTCAACTGACTGAACGACCCAGGTACCCCTGTAAGATTCATTTTTAAGCCATTTCTACACCCAACATGGTGGGGCTGGAACCCACAATCCCAAGACCGCACAGGCTCCATCGACTGAAACAGCCAGGTGCCCCTAGAAGAGAAAAAAAGAGAGAGAACATGTGCAAGTGGGGGAGAGACAGAGAGAGAGGGAAACAGAGGATCTGAAGCAGGCTGTATGCTGACAGCAGACAGTCTGACGAAGGGATCGATCTCATGAACTGCGATATCATGAACTGAGCTGAAGTTGGACACTTGACATACTGAGCCACCAGGAGCCCGTTTTTTGTTAACTGGGGGGGAAAAAAACAAGGTTTGGAATAGTTTGTAATAGTTCAGTATGGTCCTTTTTTTTTGAGAAACAGAATCTTATCTGTGCTTCTGCATAGGGAATAGTGGCCAATTCACTTCAGAGTCATTTTTCTTCAAGGAATGCTTTATTTTTGAGATTTTTTAAGAGGTAAGAAAGAATAATTAAGTGAAATAATTGCAATGCCAGTCGCTGCATACGCCTGACTTTCGTGCTAGCTACTCTGATTCTCTAACCTTCCCAAGTGCCTTTTGTTGTCTTTGGTCATTCCAATGGGAGTAGATAAGCCCAGAGACCTCCAGGCCCCCTCGAGTATTTCAGCTAGGTTTGAACCCAATCTTGAACCTGGCCTGAGGGCTCGGGGGCTAGGGACTTTGGGACCCAGTTTTAAAAAACCACCTTCCGGGGCACCTGGCTGGCTCAGTCAGTTAAGCATCCAACTCTTGATTTTGGCTCAGGTCATGATCTCACGGCTCGTGGGTTCGAGCCCTGCGTCAGGCTCCGTGCTGACAGTGTGGAGCCTGCTTGGGATTCTTTCTCTCCCTCTCCCCCACTCATACTCACTCACTCTCTCTTTCTCTCCCTGCCCCCTCAAAATAAATAAACTTAAAAACAAATAAATAAATAAAATTTGGGGGGCACCTGGGAGGCTCAGTCAGTTAAGTGTCTGACTTCGGCTCAGAATATGATCTCACGGTTCATGGGTTCGAGCCCCACGTCAGGTTCTGTGCTGACAGCTCAGAGCCTGGAGCCTGCTTTGTATTCTGTGTCTCCCTCTCTCTCTGCCCCTTCCCTGTTCCCGCTCTCTCTCAAAAATTAAAAAAAAAATTTTTTTTAATAATAAATAAATAAGTAAAAAGCCAACAAACTCTGGGTCTTCAAAGTTCAAGTCCAGTGCTTCTGCCAGAGGTTAGGAAACCAGTCAGATGATACTAGGAGAAAATTGAGGGGGGGGTTGAAAGGAGAATAGAGGGGATACCAATAGAGAAATAGAAGAAGCTCTTAGAAGTCCAAAGAGTGACCTGAACAGGAGGAGTCTCTCAGACCTGCCTCTACAGTACGCCCCACACTGCACTGACTCATAGCCGAATCGTAATTGTACCCACAACGGGATATGACTCACTTCTCGCTGCTGGCACACAGGGTGGGTAAGAGAGTAATTGGAATTCCAGGACTCAGAAAAAAATTAAAAAGGAAGTTCAGGCCAGGGGCACTCACAGTAAGGATGGTGGGAGGAGAAGCTTCTGTCATCCCCTCCTCCCCTAGGGGCTCACAACTTCCATTACCACTAATCCACTGCTCTGGCCTGCCAACCTTTGCACAAAGCTCTATTTTACCAACAGAACGTGCTACAGGAAAGACTGGAAATAGTAGTAATAGCACTGCTGGTGGGGACAGGGATCAGGAACAGTGAGCACCGAGGGACACCCCATCAGATGGGTGTCCCCACAGCAGAAAACACCATCCTGGCAAAGGGTCAGAACCAGTCCAATTTAAATGTTGATTTTTTTTTTTTTTTTTTTTTTGAGAGAGAGAGAGCAAGAGAGAGCAAGGGAGGAGGGGCAGAGAGACAGGGAGACCCAGAATCCAAAGCAGGCTCCAGGTCCCGAGCTGCCAGCACAAGAGCCCGACACGGGGCTCAAACCCACGGACCACGAGCCATTGACCCGAGCCGAAGTCAGCTGCTTAACCGACTGAGCCACACAGGCGCTCCAGAACCAGTCCAATCTAAAGCGCCATCACCCAAAGAAACCACAGGGTTTTCTTGCTTCCTCCCTGTTGCCCAATCAAGGCTTGGTTTTCCTGGTCAGTTTCATCTAATTTCAGTAAAAGCAACCTCGAGCACCCCACCCCTGAACTCTTCTCTGCTAGGGTTGCACAAGAACCACACCCACCCGTACCCCTGCTGGCCCCCGGCCCCCACGCTCAAATCTCTAAATAGCCTTTAAATCTCTCCTGTCACGAGTGACAAGCCAGGAACAAGGTTATCGAAACGGAAAAGGAGAATACACATTTCTGCTTTTTCACCACACACAAATGAGGTGGTAAAATGCTTTCGATGTTTTCTTTCCCATGCTACTGAAGATAGCTGTTGTTGAGGGCCATCAAAATTATAGAACCATTTCCGTGGAAAAAAAAAATGGCCAGAGCTAACGGACTCAGCTGAAAATGAACAAGAAATCAATTTACCAAGGGCTCTTTTCCAAACTAGGTGATCTCAAGGCATTTTCCTCAGGGGTGATCTCGATGGAAGATTTTGCAGTCAGCTCCTTCGGGGTGGGGTAGCCTGTTTCTGTGGTTGCTCATTGCTGGTAAGTTCCACAGTGTCTTAGCAACAAATGTCACTTTTGACAGCCGGGTAAAGTGTGGACTCTATTAATGTACTTAACGCGGGATGTGAGGGCCATCAAAGCACTGAGCAACAAAGGTATCTAGAATTGGATCTTATCGGGGAAGGAACCCTACAGATAAGAGCAGAAATATCCTGGAAAGACACAGTGAGCCAGGTAGTTCCCCTTGAAGCTTTGCAGTCTCAAAAAAATCTCCCTGTCTTTTTGCCAGTGTTGTCCAAGAAGAAAAGTATGCCCAGCAATGACCACTGAATCCCCCCGGGGGGCATGTTGCGAAGGCAGAGACAACTCTTCGCAGGATGCTCTATTTTTTCTGAATTGGGGTGTGCCCTGGGCATACTTGATACTCCGCAGATAACGGATTTTGACCCGGCTCAGTGAACACATGCAGCTCGGATTCCAAGGACTTCCATTTCCAAGGAAACGGGACAAGAAATTCCATCCCCTGCCACCTCCCCAAAATGCTTTAAAGACCGCTAAGGAGCGAGCTGGCGCAAAACAGGGCTGCCACAAATATACATCATCAGGTTAACAGCAGAGCAGAGTAGCTGCTGGCTCCCAGGAGTCTGGGGAACCCCTCAGGTCTCAGAGCCTCCTGGCGAACACAGATTACATCAGATCCTCAGCCACTCGGTGAGAGAGAAAACTAAAGTCAGCAACCCATCTTGCTCAAGACATCACTGCCATCATTTCCTCCTCGGGATGAAGCCCATCAGCGTTTGAAACACAGGTCAAACCAAGTGCCTCTTGACAAGCCACGCTCCCTCCTCTTCACACAACTGGGTGGCAGAGTTATCTCAACAATCCTCAGCTGTATGGCATCAACTCCCTTCCTCGCCTCTCAGCCAAAACTGATGCGTCACGGGCAGGAATTCCAAGAGTTCAAAGCGCCCCACGCAAAGCCACCGCCCCATCCGTGGAAAAGTTTCCGGCAACCCCGTTACCAGGCAGCCCCGATTCTTTCATGGGCTGCGCCGGTTCTCAGTAGGAAAAAGATCATTTATCTAATATCCAGGGCGAGGTCAGATGCCTCCGGCAGTTCATTTAAAGCCACCGGGTAACTCAGGAGCAGGCACCAACTAGTCTCTTCACTAAATCTCAACCCCCCTGAAACCCCCGAAGAGGAAAAAAGTCGTCGAACCCCCCTTCAGAGCTTCGAAACAAACAGGGCCACCCTGAGGGATCCATCCGATGTCGGCGCCTCCCGATCCCCGCCCGGGTGGAAGGTCTCCGCTTCCGACCGAAGAGGGGCGGGCATTTCTGAGGCAACGGTTCCACCAGGGAAGGAGGTAGGCCCTGAGGGGTGGCCTGGGGACACGGATGTGAACTCGACCCGGGGCAGCGACGGCGGCCGCGGGGACGAAATGGGCTCGGGCCAGATCTCGAAGGAAACCTTGGGCTGCGCGAAGGCGGCCCAGGAGCGCGGTAGGCACCTTGCCCATGCTCACGGAGGCGACTCCGGGGGCCCGGGACGCGTCGCCTTTGTGACAGGAGCGCTGGACGGACGCGAGGGAGCTCCTTCGGCCGCCTCACGGAACCAGGTGCTTCGCGCGTCCCAAGCCGCACCTCGAGCCCCGCCCAGCCCTCATCCCAGCCCCGCCCCGCCCCGCGCGCCCCTCCGCATCCGCCGACTCCCATTGGCCGAGGGGAGTGGCTCGAGGCTCGCCTGTTCCAATCGCGCCCAATGGGAGCTTGGGGACTGGCCCTCGAAGCCGGAGGCGGGGCTGGAGGCGGTGGCCACCGGCAGAAGCGCGCGTGTAGCGCCCGCGAGAAATCGCAGCGTCCGGCTCCGCGGTCCGGAGCCTCCCTAGCGCAATACGAAGCTGCCTGGGGCGCGTGGGTACTTGTCCGCGGGCGGGCGCGAAGGAGCGCCCGCAGGGACCTCGGGCTTCTGCTAGTCCTCTCCCTAGAGCAGCTCGGGGGGGGGGGGGTGTCCCTGCCTCCCTAGGGCTGGAGAGCCCCGTGTCCCGGTCTGAGGGAAGATAAGGGGGTCCCCCCTTCTGGCAGAGACTTGTGGGGAAAACCTCACCCCGCTTCTCCTGACTCCCCCACATCCCCAAACCCTCGCAATCCTCAGCGCTCCCTCCAGCCGTTTGGGAAGGACTTCGTGCCATTTTCCCACAAGTCGTAAAGGATGGGGGCATTTTTCGCATCCTTCCCGCAAATTACCAAGGGGTTCCCCAAGTTCTGGGGGTCATCTCACCGCATGCGGGCGCCTGGAGCCAGCCTTACCTGCCGTCCCCACCGCTGCGAGGAACAGGGCGGCGGCCCAGTTCAGCCCCCAGCCCGCGGCCCTCATGCTCCCAGCCTCCTCCCGTAAAACACCGGCCCGAGTCTGAGTCCGCAAAGTCCGCGCAGGAAACCCGGGTTTGGCGCGGCCCGGCGGCGACTGCCTGCGGGGCCCCAGTCATTTGCAGCATTTCAATGTGAGTTTCCTCGCAGGGGGAGGAGTTTGCAGTGGGGTGATTTTCGAATATCTTCACCTCACTGCGGGAGGAGGAGTTTCGAGAGGAGGAGTTTCGAACGGCCGATGTTACAAGGGCTGTTAACCCGTGAAGCCCTGAGTCGGATTCCAGTCTTTTCCAAACCTCGCTCCCGAATCATCTAATAGGCTAATGACCATGGCCCCCTGTGCCTCCAAAGGGAAAACGGGACGTATCGGAAACTTTACCGTCGCCTTTCCCTACTTGCCTTTGCCTTTCTAGGAATCGTATAGAGATGTTAACTGAGTTTTCTTCAAAATACTCATCAGTGAGGAATTTAAATAAAATCTTCACAAAAGTACAGCCCCCAACTGATCCAGTGAATCCAGCGTTTGGATCAATATGAGCAAAAACATCTCTAAAGTCATTGATCCAGTCGGGGTCTGGACATAAATATTGATTTATTCTTTTGGGAGAAGGACTCGAACAACCAGGCTGCTTCCTCTCCCCGAAGCAAAATCAAAACAAAACAGCTTGCAGAGTTGAACCTGATCGCCTTAATCACAGAGGGCTGATGGAGAGCTGCTTTTAAGAATCGAGTCTCTTTTGGGTGAGATGCCAGCAGCCCCTTGCCAAAAAGGCACATGTGAGAATCTTGCCTGAACCCCATTAAGGGTCTGGCAGTCTTGGAAGGGTCCTCCAGGAATGAGCAGAATTCTCTGGGGTTTTACACATTGATCCTGGGAGGGTGAACTAACCTCTCAGCAGGCTTATGGGGAAACCCATGAGAGGAGGCAGAAAGGGGACGATTGAAACCTCAGAAGGAAACGCGCGATTAATCCAGAGTAAGAAAGAGCAGTTTGGAGCTCCAGCTTGGGAATCAGACCCTGGGTGAATAAATTAGCTTTTCCAATGAGGAAAGGAGAGGAAATCATACTTGCTTCCCTTACAAGGCAGGTTCCATGGGGGGGTGG